CCCCCCCCCGCATTGTCTTATCTGTGTTTCCATGACACCTAGGATCTTTGGATGTGCTTCCTCAACACTGCTTAGTTCCTTAATACCCAGCGCATGCTGCCTAGCTGCATGGTTCCCTCGTGGCTTTGATTCCTGAAAACAGTTTCTGTTTCTGATCCTGCTTGTATATGGGAATGGCCTCCAGAGGAAACAGCTAAGCTGGCACCACTTAATTTCCACATCCAGGCAGCTGGAAATAAGTTGTCAGTTTTCACAGAGCTTGTTTGTTCTCTGCAACCCCCCCGGAAAGTGCTCCAAGGGCTGCAGTGCAGAGACATTACTTTATAAAGTCCTGCACGGCATAAAGTAGATAAAAGCTGATCATGTTTGTCTGCTACAAACAGCATAAGATGAATCCATGCCTCTCATTAAATATTCTTCATCTTTACTAAGAATAAATATTAAGGTGGAATACTAAATACAATTAGGAGATGCTCCTGAGATCACTCTGTAGGTAGATGGTTAAAATCTTAGTGCATTACATTGACAATACAGACTGCTCACAGACATGATTTATATAATGTGGTTGAGCAATGAAGATTACAAATCAAGCTCCTTCTCTTTATGCTTTGAAACTCTATACACATATTAAGCTATTAGGGAATTAAATGGAAGTCTACTGTTCTTTGTTCAAGAACAGAAGTTTTTTTCATGTACAAATGTACCTTTGCAGATTTAAAATTAATGCTCGTTTGTCTTAAAGTATCATAAGTTTTACAGTGAATTAGTCCAACTCAGAATCTTATGCCTTACACCTATCATTTTAGATACCTTTGAGGAGACTTCATCAACACTCTATGTACTAAATGTTGAAAGAAATGGAAAAATTATATACACCTGGAAGGTAAGTCTACAGCAACTCTCTGCAACTATACTAGAAAGTAACAGTGTGGTAAACCCTTCTTTTCATCTAATACTTTTACTTCAAATTTAGTGTAAGTGACATTTTAAAACCTGAAATTTGATTAGTTAATTTATTTAATTTCTCTTACAATAAGAGAGCAGTTGTCCTTCGTTCACTTGCAGAATTGGCTTTTTTTATAGGTTAAGAGGGTGTTTGGATTGAGGTGAAGTACTGGACTGGTTAAATAAGTCCATGGGACTTTCGCCATCGACTTCTGTGGGACCAGAATTTAACCCTGAATGAACATGTATCACTTTAACATACAAGCTTTTCATAAGCAACTCATTCTTCAACCCTGGGAGCAGAGTTGCTTCAGAAAGGAAAAATCCGTTGAATTCATGTGCAGCTATTTCTGATAAACTTGATTCATTTATGCATAATGAAGGGTAAAAGAGCTCTTTTTTTCTGCCTTACTTGGTGGTGTTTTAAACACTTATCAGTAGTGCTTAATTATAGTTGTCATGGGCTTTGAAAAACCCTTAACTTATTAGTATCCTGCACTGTTTAGGGCCATGTAATTTTAACTTAAAAATAAGCCTTCAGTGCCCTGTTTTGCCCCCAAATACATTAGGGAAGGAGAGACTCCCTGAGCTGAATCTAGTAGAGTTCCAAGGAATTTTCTCATTGGTTTGGGAATGTTTCTCCTCTGCAGAAGTAACTGAGTTTCATTTCTTTAAAAGTACACATAAAAGCCAGACTGTGGAAGATCTACCTGCCCTGATGCACAGACTAGAGGATCATGTCTCAAATTGTAGTGCACTGTCAGAGATGCCTCTTTGTGTTCCAAGGCAGCAGAGCTGAAACTCTTCAGAGCATCACATAGGGCTTGAGTAAGGGTAAGGCTGCAGCAGACTTAATCCCTTGTTCTTATGGATGCAGATTTCCCTTTGTATAAGAAGGTACAGAAAGTGTGGGCCTCTGTACAGCACCTTGCAGTACTCTTATGGGCACACTAGATCTATGGAGGCAACATGTTATTTATGAAGGGATGATTCCTTCTTTCTAATGTCTTTGAATCAGCCTGAATTATTTCCCTGTGCTGCTGTCTCAGCAAGATAAGAACTTTTTTTTCCCATGATTGCTCACTCTCCTGCAAAAGTGACCTACAGAGACTTCCTTCATTGTAGAGGACATGGAGATGTTTTGTTCGCTTTTGCTGTAAGGCAGGGGTGCTCAGCCTCCAAACCATGGGCCAGATGTGGCCATGGAGTCATTGCATAGAGCACGTGGAGCTCCCCATGGGTCTGTAAATTTGGTAGTGGGGGTGCGGTGGCCATTAATATGACTACTGTCCCCTGTGCCAAATCCCCAAGCCCCATTCTCTGCATGACTGTTTGGAGCCAAGCTATACCTACTTCCCCTGCAGGGCTAGGCCATGCCCCCCCCCCTTCTGGATCGGGACAGCCTCACCCCCTTCCCTCCCCACGGAGTTGGGTTTAGGGCCTGGTCATGCTCCCTTCCCTCTCTGCGGAGTTGGGTTTAGGGCCTGGTCATGCTCCCTTCCTGTCCCCAAGGAGTTGGGTTGGGGCCTGGCTACTCCCCCCTCCCCTGCAGGGCCAGGCCACACCCCCTTCCCTCTTTGGGGACTGGCCTTGCCCCATTCCCTTGCCACAGGGCCAGGTCAAGCTCCTTTCCCCTGCAGGGCTGCATTGGGGCCAGCCTGCCCCTCGTCCTGCCAGATAGTGCCTGCCCTGCCTGCCCAAATGCTGGATTGGGAGCACTGGCTTGATCCAGCTCACAGTTGGGATGGGTACTGGCAATCTGGCCCATGGGGCAAAAAGGTTGGGCACCACTGCTTTAAGATTTTAAATCTATGAGGGGCTGAGTTGTGAGTACTCCATGGAATATTTTTACAAGAGGGCAAATTCACTTGCTAATTCCTTTATGCTTTAACTCAGGGGTTCCCGAACTTGGACAGATTGCATACCACCAATTTAAAATGATACATCCTTAAGTACCACCAGCAATTTTTTCATACACATGGGCAACAGACTATGTATTAGTGGGCTTTGAGGGTCCCACCACTCGTCCCGGGGCCCCATTCACCCCAGCCCTTTC